CCCAAGGCTCCTGATAAGGATGATTTATAATTAAAACAAATTAATAATTCGGGAACTAGTTTCTTCCGTGCATGTAAACAGGCCTCGTGGCATAGGTGGTTCGTTGGCGCAGCGTCTGACAAAGCTCACGCCTTGTCTCATTGTTTATATGATCGCTTACGTGTAGCGTCACTTTCACTTTTCATTCAATTTTGTGAGTCTGTGTTACGCTCATGACCATGCTCCAAAGTGAAAGTCCACTGCAAGTCCAGGGGAGCCTGCAGTGGAGAGAAAGGTGATTACGGCAGAAACAAAAGTAGAAATAAGTGTTTGGAGAAAGGCCTGACGCCTTCATTCATTGGGAGAGATTAGGCTTCCGTTGCTCGACCGTCAGAACAATTACGAAGGGTAAAATAAGGGTAATGGAACATGTGAAAGGCAAGCATCAGTTATTACTAAGCAGCATAGTGGATTAATTATTGAAATGGAAAGGTTATCATTGATTTGGTTAGAAGATCAAAATAAGTGTAACATTTCCTGTTAGCCCAGGTCTTCAAGAGCACAGTAGTTTCTGTAACTTGTTACTATAGTACCGGGGTGGTAGTATTGATATTATTATTACAGTACTACGCTGTATCACTATTACTACATATGAACCATTATAGTATTATTATTATTGCTATTACTGTATACGAACTGTTCACCGGGGAACTGAGTTACATACAAATCTGACCTGAAGACGTTCTCAGGAACATCTCTCTTCTGAAACCTGGGACTGCCTGTGTGGCTTTAATTTTGTTTATACCTGTGTATAGAAACTAATTGTTTCTACTAGTAATGTTGTACAAAAATAATTTAATATTTGTTGACTGTAAAACTAGTCATAGAAAACATGTATTAATTTTGTTTTATTAATTTTTGATGTAGGAGTTTATACAAGAAATAGAAATTTTCGGCTCTATAAATCATCAAAAATAGGAAAGCGTGTGGCTTTGGAGGTCGCTGAAGATAACAAATTTTTTCCTCTACAGTCAAAATAT